TGGAAAAGTGGGGGGTCATCTTATACATGGGGGCATCTTATTGTCGGAAAAATATGGTATGTTGCTGAACCAACATATGAAAATGGAAAAGAGCCAAAGATGTCCAACACAATCCATTAAACTATTGAAACATGAAGTAAACAGGAAGTTGGAACAAAAATTCAAGAGGGTCAAATCTCTCTAGAACACCAGAGGCGGGGAGTTCTCAGACATTCAGTAAGAAAAGGTCAAGTTGAATAGTTGCGATGGATTAGAAAATATACTATCAACTTTAAGAAAAGATACACATTGTAAATGAGCAGTGTCAAGTTACAAGAAAAAGATTACTTTCTTTAGAACACAAAATGCCCAGATGAGGAAATTATTAATATTTTGTACCTTCAAGTCAAGTAGATTCCTGGTGACTGCCTGGATGAGTCCCTGCAGGTTTAGCCCAAAATTACTGGCCCAAAGTCATTCATCTGGCTTTGTGCTTAAGGCAAAACTAGAACTCACGAATTTCCCAGTTTCAGTCTAGCCTGAGGCCTTAACCACTACACCAAACTGGCTCTCCAAATGAGGAAAGCAAACTCGCAAATAAGTGCAAGATAGACAAGAAGACAGTTTCACTGTCCTTTGATCTTTTGAGGAATATATCATTAAAGATCACCATATCCATTGAAGAATGTATCATTAAAGGTCAGCATTTTGAGGAGCATTTCATTAAAGACCAACAATGAAAAAAATAATCAAAACTGACTGGACTGACAAGTGGATAAAGTGTATAAAGAGACTGCATAGAAACCAAAAGAAGTCTATGGGGTACCTTGTGACAAAGGCATCCTCTGACACATCTGGCTGTAGGATCCAGTCTGTAGCTTTCCCTCCTCAGTAATAAATATGGCATTATAATTGCTTACAAGAGCCAGTTTGGTGTAGTGATTAAGGCATCAGGCTAGAAACTGGGAGACGGTGAGTTCTAGTTTCACCAAAGCAGCTGGGTGACCTTGGGCCAGTCACTCTCACTCAGTCCTAGGAAGCAGGCAAGGGCAAACCACTTAAAAAAAAAAAAAACCTTGCCAAGAAAACTGCAGGGACTATAGTAGTGCAGGCAGCTGCCAGGAGTCATTAACAACTTGAAGGTACAAAAAAAAAAAAAAATCGCTTACATTTTTATGACCCTTCCAAATAAAATCTCTCAACACACCCAGCTATTTTCAGTATAAACTTATCAAGTAAAAAAACTATGGACATTTGTCTGTTTCTTAAATATGAACTGAACTGCAATACAAATACTTCTAATTGGTTTTTATGGGGACTTCTATTGCTCTAGCCTTCACTATTGACTCATTCTATCAGCCATTCTACCTCTTCTACTCATTGCAGGAAAGAAATATTTCCACGTTTTTTGTTTACATAAATCATCAGTTTAATCTGGATTCATTGTATTCGGAATGAATACAAGCATTTTGATTAGTCTCCAAATGTAGATACATTCAGTAAAACTTTTTTTTAATCTTTGGGGGAAAGACTGGATTTGGCCTTTCATCTTGCATTTTAAAATTGAGAAGTCAGGCAAAGCACATGAACAGTTGTAATAAAAATATAGATAATTCTACTGGATTATCACATTCCAATCCACAGCAATGGACTTCAGAAGCTATATCAGATATAACACAGTTTTTCAGCTGATTGAAAAAAAACCTCACACTCTACCTAAAAGAAAAATAAGGTTGCCTTTTTATAGTTACTACAAATGTAGTATACAATTGTATAATTGTAGTATTATAGAGATTACATCAGCAAGTGGGCCATGGGGCAGATAAGGCCCATTCCTGTCTCTTGGGAAATAGAACCAGTCATAAAGTCAGTATAGAGTATATATTTTTTCTTATTGCTTTCAATGGGAAATATAAACAGAGAAGATCAGAAGTCCCCTCAGCTTCTTGATGTTTTTCTCTCCCATTCTGCTCTGTTGGTACAAACCCAGCAGGAACTGGAAGACTGCAGTTCCTCTAGAAGGATTCTTCTATTTTCAGGTATTGAAAGAATTATAGTCTTTGGAAAAATGAAGAAAAAGGAGAGAAGATGAAGTCACTTCTGAAAAACAAACATTCAACCACAGAACTGTCTGCTTGGAGCAACATGTTTCCTACTCATTAGCCAAGTATTAATCTTCCCCAAAGAATAGCTGCAGAAAAAACCTGCAAACAACCTCTAAGACTTGCTCATATATTATGGCATTGCTTCATCCCTCAAATACTGTTGCTTCTGTATTATTAAGGCATAAGCTTTAATAATAAAATATTGGGAAACCATTATTTGGCAAAGACTCTAGGAATCTCCTTTTTTTCTCAGAAAAAAGGCATGTACTAACTGGGCATTAATACAGAGCAATTATAATATGGAGTTATCAAGTACATGTTTTATTTTTTGAAAAATCAAATGCCTAGCTGGGATTCTCTGACTTAGATTTGAGACTATATTCCTATATTCCAGTAAGTGAAAAACTCAACTCAAGAAAATGCTGATGAACCAGCGGTTTATATTAGGTAGATTAAGGCAGCCATTTCAGTTAAATGAAAATGGGTAGAAAATTCTTAGTTATTTTATTACCATAATGTTGCATTTTAAGTGCCAAGAGGAGGGAGAGGAATTTGTGGGATTTTGAAGTTCCCCAATTGATTGACCAGCCTGACATACTTCGGTCTAGCCTTGATTTGGGAAAGGCACTGTTTTCTACCTTCCTCCAGCCACAAATCTCTTGGGCCAGCCCTTTCTCTCACTGGGGTAAATCTACAACCAGCTTCTATATCACTCATGGAGGAATTAAGAACATAGCTGGGAAGGAGGAAAAATTAGCTGGAATTTCCTAGAATATTGTTTCATCCCCTCCCGTCCCCCCCCCCAAAAAAGAAAACTGAATGTAAGAGATCTAAGACAAATTAAAAAAAAATCCCAGGGTTAGGGAAACTTTCTGACAAGAACAGTTTGACAATGGAACAAGTCATCTGGGCAGATGGTGGGTCCCCTTCACTGAAGGTTATCAGGCAGAAGTTGGACAGCTACCTCCCATGGAGATTTTAACATTGCAAGGAACAGGAGACTGGACTTCATGGCCTAAAGCAGTGTTTTTCAAACTTAGCAACCTTAAGAAGCATGGATTTCAATTTCCAGAATTCCTTAGCCAGCTGGTAGTTGAAATCCTCACATCTTAAAATTGCCAAGTTTGGAAAACACTGGCCTAAATGGATCCCTCGTAGTTCCCAAGATTGCGAAACAGTGTTCTACTGTATCACCTACGCTTGAGTCACAAGTAAAGAAATCAAGATGGAACTCTAACAGAGATAGGTAGGTAGGTAGGTAGGTAGATAAATAGATAGCTATGCCGTGCTACTGAAACACAGCTTGGATATGGTAACAATAATGTAATAATATATATGTACAATTAATATGTAAAATAATAGCAATAATAGACAGAGCTAGATCTTTTGTACACTCAATCTGAATGCTTAATTTCTACAACTTAAATAGCAACCCCGCAGGATAAGGTATAGAGGTAGTTTGATAAGATCAGGAATGAGGTATTACAGAAGAGAAGGGAGTAATCTTTCCTTCCAATTAACATGGTTCTGATATCCTCCACTCTTCAGTTGGTTTTGGCTCTGAAGAGCCTTCCATTGGCCTTTTCCCATACAAATTAAAAATTAAACAGAAACATATGTGGAAGTGCTCCCCCTGCTGGAGAGGAACGGGAACTATTTTTTGAGAACCGAAAATATTGCTGATGCTTTTGCTTAGGTCAGTGTTGTCCAAACTTGGCCACTTTAAGATGAGTGGACTTCAACTCCCAGCATTCCCCAGCATGGCTGGCT